CTGACCTTGGTGTCTGCAGAGTTGTTTCTCTCACATATTCTCACTCCTCTCTTTGGCTGCAGTTGCACAGTTCTTTTTTTTTTTTTCCCCCCTTCTTAAATATGTTATCCCAGAGGCGCTACCACCGTCGCTGATTGGCTCAGCCTTGGCCAGCAGCGGGTCTGTCCTGGAGCCAGCTGGCATTGGCTCTATCGGACATGGGGGAAGCTTCTAGCAGCTTCTCACAGAAGCCACCCCTGTAGCCCCCTGCTACCAAAACCTTGCCATGCAAACCCAATACATGGCCACATCCCAATTGCAATGCAGGAATAGATTTGGGTGCATGCAGTCATTGCTGCATGCCCCAATTTCAACTCTAAGGACATGATCACACATGAGGATAAAGGACACAGTAATTAGCTCTAAAGAATAACCCAGTCTGGAGAATAAGGAGAGCAGAACAGTAAAACAAAGCAGACAGTATGGACAGGAAAAAAAAAACCCAAACAAACAAACAAAAAAACCAACCAAAAAAACACCCAAAAAGCCACAACAAAAAAACCCAAAACCAGTAACAGCCTCAAGCCTGGTTTTGCTACATTTCCTTTGGCAAGAATGACAGTGTAAGGACATTTTTGTACTAAAAACTGTTAAGATGTTAGTCTCCAACATAACAAGTAATATAAAAAACAAAAAGGAAGAACATATAACAGTGAAAGTACCACAGCAAGTAACATATTCCAAGACAACTGTTTCTTCAGTCACTTGAACTTTTCAGGCTTATACTATTAGTTCTAAGTGTCTGAGTTAAGGAAGATGCAGCAACACTCCTATTGGAAACTGCTTCTCAGAAGTTTCAAAGTTGTCACAAACTCTCCAAACTTCCTCCCCAAGCAAGTGAGAACACGTGAGCAACTTTTGAAGGATACCTGGATGTTAAATTAAGCTTACGGATCATTTTCAGAACATTAAAAAATAAAGCAAATAGTCTTACAAGCAAAAGCCTTTCTATACAGTCGGAATCTTTCCTAAGTACAGCCTGTAAAAATCCTAACCGAAATTTTGGTAAATGGTCATATCAACTGATTTAGTTTATTTGCAAGACACTGTCTTGACTAAAAGAACCAGCGGTCCCTGAGGCAATATCATGTTAGATATTGTAGAGAAAGGATTTAGAAAAATGCGAAAACCTACTTTTTCGATTTAGAAATGACTTCTACATGAAAAACCCAAAACTATGTCTATACTGCGATTTATCTTCAGCTATTAGCACTTGGTTAAAGCAGGTGCTAATGACACTATTCTGTTGATATCTCTTCGCATAGACAAATAGATTTCTTATTTACAGTGGCAGAATAATCTCAAAGGCAAATTCTTATGATATGATGCTATTTTCAACATCCTCTCACCCATCAAATGTCAAATACCACCAAGGTACAACTTACATAGCATTCTATACTTAAAAAAAAAAAAAAAAGCTGTGTCTTGTAAAGAGAGACAGATTCTGTGCTTAAATAAACCACTCTTTTACACTAGAAAATAAAATTCCCCTTCCAATCATGCAATTTCAAACAAACAAACAAACAAAAAAATCTTACCTGCCCATGATCGAAACGCTGCCACTATTCCCATTTTACTAGCTAGGAACCGTGCTTCTCTGTCCTCTCTGTCATTAAAGTAACAAATGTCACAATACACGGTTAATTACTGTAAAACAAGCAGTGTTACTAACATAGCAAGTAAAAAGTAGTTAACTGAAATTTTAGATGGGGGACAAAATCCAGAGTAAGAAAAATCTGTTACATACATATACGTGTGTATATATATATGTATGCAATGTGTACACACAAAGATTAGAATTTTTTAAGTATTGTTATTTTCCTTTTTCAGTGGAGGCTCCACGGTAGGAGGATCACATCAAAAGTAAACACCTATATTTGGTCAGATGATTCACTCTGAAGCCTCCACTGACAGTAACACTACAGCAGGGGCTACCTGGACACTGATTCAGTTACACAGACCTAAGCAT